CCCGCGTTAAGCCAACAGTTTGATGTGAGGCAGGGGAGACGGGGTTGGAAGGGGCCCTTTTCCACTTCAGCACAGGTTCCTGCTGGAGCTGGCTGTCACGACTCCCGCAGTGGTGGCGACAAAGAGTTTGGAGACGAGATTTCCTGATCTAGAAACAGGAAATGTCAAGAGATTAAGATTTTCATGTGACACTATTTGCTGAAAAAATAGAAGGCGTTCATTGTGGGGCTTGACTGTTTGTACATCTGTTTGCAGCTGGATTCTGAGGCTGCAGTCAGCCAGACAGAACCAGCCACAATCAGATGAACACCCACAGGCACGCGCCTGCCATCTCCAGTCAATAAGTACTCCTAAAATGCAGCCACGCATCACTGCCCTGCGCAAAAACACACGCGTCTTCCCACAGCCTGAGGAAAACACTGAGGCCACCCTTCCAGCCCCCTGCCATCTTACCCAACCTGCACCCCTCACTCCTTCCACAATGCCTCTGCCATGCCAGCTCACCTGGCCTGTTCACCGTCTCGTCCCTTCCCCCATCTCTGCCTACCCAGATCCGCTTGTTCTCTGAGACCCTTCTGACATCGTCCCTGTCCCCCAAGCCTTTCTGCCATCCCAGCCACAGGAGATGCACTGCCTCTCAATGCCGAGGGTCTTTCACTCGCACTGAACCTGCCTTCTACTGTTTCCTTCTGGCTGTTCACCTTCCAAGCCTCACCCAGAGCTCTTTGACTGTGGAATTTTTTCATTATATTTTATTGAATCCCCTGCCTATCTATATACTGGGCCTTTTGCACGTCAGCAAATATCCCATGCCCAATCGATGCATGTGAGACTGATTGACTCCAATGTACTTGGTACTGGGCTCTGTTGCAAGGGAGTTAGAGAGAATCTGAGTTGCTTTCCTCCAGGGGTTTCCAATCTTCCTGGACAGGACAGATGTGAGACCAGCAGAAGACAGCAGGAGGTACACTGTGCAGACTGCAAATCTGCAAATAAGCAGTTGTCCCAAGAGGTCTTCCAGAAAAGTGCTGAGAGTTCAAGAAGGAAAAGTCCTTTTTTTTTTACCTTTATTTTATTTACTGATTTTTATGTGGTGCCGGGGATCAAACCCAGTGCCTCATATATGCTAGGTAGGCGTTCTACCACTGAGCCACAACCCCAGCGCCCCACCTGGCAAAAAAAGTCCAACTTTTAATTGGTTAAAAGAGGTGGTTGTTCTTGAGAAGGACTTGAGAGGTATTTTGTATTTGTCTGGGATTTTTGTAGTTTTCAAAGCTCCTTCATTGACATTAACTGAATATAAATTCTCACAACACTATTGTTTGGTATTCCTATGCCCGTTTTTACTTTTTTGTATTTATTTATTTAGATACTGGGCATTGAACCTAGTGAGTTTACACTGAGCTATATTCTCAGTACTTTTTATTTTTTTATTTTGATACAGGGTCTCGATAAGTTGCTTAGGGCCTCATTAAATTGCTGAGACTGGCCTTGAACTTGCAATCCTCCTGCCTCAGCTTGGGATTACAGGTGTGCACCACCATGCCTGGCCTTATGCCCACTTTTTAAAATAAGAATCTAAGTCCCTGGAAGCAGGAGTGATTTGGCCAAAGTCCTGGTAGCTGGTAAGGGGTAAGCCAGGATTCAAACGCTGGCCTTTGGAGCTCAGATCCTGTGGTCTCTACCGGGAGCCTGCTTCCTTCCAGTGTTCAGTCTCTGCCTTTAAACTAAATTTTACAGCAAGGTATTGAAGCAAAATAAAAAGACCATTTAAAAATATCGGGCAGGTTGCTGTATGCAGAGTAGATCGAAGAAAGGGAGAGTGCACAGCACACCAGGTGCTCTGCTGACAATGAGGATGAATTGATTACATTTGACAGCATCCACACATCAAGGATGAGGGAAAGAGCTAGAAGGAGAATGGCTTAGGTTAAGAGACTATAAGCTCAAGCTGTGAGAAAGTTATTGCTGGTGCTGGACGCTTGGACAGGGCCGGCCTGCAGGGACATGACAATACCCTGTGAGCATCAAGATGGCATTGAGCACCGGAGTCCCAGAGGAGGCCAAGAGAGACCTCCCGGGAGCAGAGTCATGAACACACAAGAGCTCACATGTGCAACCTGTGACTCAGCAGAGGGGCTAGCAGAAGAGGGTATGTGCACTGGGAGGAGCATATGCGTATTTCTGGGAGTTTATGGAATGTAAGAATATCAGAGCCAGTTCCCCAGCACTCGGATCAACCGCACCATCCTACAAAACTTTCCAAGAACATGTTCTGGCTTCTGAAGTAGCTGGATGCCTCTTACTCTGCGCACAGCATTTCCTAACCACCTACTATCAGGATACAGCTCCTCATAGTGATAGAAGGCTTAGACGTCTCCATGGGGCTGCGTGAAATGAACACACTGTGATATGACCAGGCAGGGACACATGGTCAGCTTATCATCTGTGAAACTAACACCTGGGTTTGAGACCAGAGGGTGCAAGAAACATACTGTGACCATTTTTCAGCCAATGTCCCAGAGTGACCCCTTGTTCCCTCTCTGGGGTTGTATCCCCACTATCTGATGGGCCCAGTTTCATCTTCCTCTTTAGAGACGAACTTGACCCCTTCTTCAAGTCCCTGTGCTGAAGCCCTGCCCCTAGTACCTTACAATGTGACTGTCTTTGGAGACAGGGCTTTTGAAGAAGGAGTTAAAAGCAAATGAGACCATTAAGATGGGCCCTAATCCAATATGACTTGTGTTCTTATGAAAAAGAAAAGACTTAGGCACAGACACACAGAGAGATGACCGCGTGAGGACACAGGTCATCTACCAGGCAAGGAGAGAGGCTTCAGAGCAAACCAACCTTGACCTTGGACATGTGCCCTCCAGGATGGTGAGACAATAAATGTCAATGGTCAAAGCCACCCAGCCTGCTACCTCCCTATGACAGCCCAAGCGGACTAATCCCTCCACCTGCCAGTATCAATGCCAACCTGCCACTTTTCTGCATCAGAACCTGCAATTTGTCCTCAGCATCTTAGCATTTTGTTCAAAAAAGATAAACATCGTGTCATCTTTCCTCACTTGAACTTCTCCTTCACCTCCAGTCTAATCTACGACGAGCACCTTATTATATACCGTCTGGTTCTCTGATCACCTGGGCCACTGCGGTATAACCTGCGCTGGCCTCCATTCACTAGCATATCTCTCGTCACCAAGACCGGCCTCTCCAGCGTAAGGACTCCTTCTGTTCTCACAGCACCCCTTCTCAGCTGGACACTGGGGTCATAAGTCGTACCTGTGCAAAAGAAACACTGGCTCTTTACATTGAAATGGGTTGGGGATATAGCCCAGTTGGTAGAGTGCTTGCCTCGAATGCACAAGGCCCTGGGTTCAAACCCCAGTACCACCACCAAAAAAATATATATATATACTCACCCAACTCTTCACCTTAAACCTTGCTCTTATGTCCTCTCATTCCAATAAGAACAGCCACCATTAAAAAAACAGAAAAAGCATCAAGTGGTGGCAAAGATGCACCACGGAAATTAGTACAGACATTATGGCAAACAGTATTGAAGTTTCTTAAAAAAATAAAAATAGAATGACCATGTGATCCACAATCCCATTACAATGGTTATCAATTCAAAGGAATTAAAATCAGGAAGTGTGTTTATCACAGCAGCCAAGATATGGAATGCATGCAAGTGTCCATGGACAGATGGATGGATAGAAATGCTTGATGTGTATATGATAGAATATTATTCAACCCTAAAGAGTGCAATTCTGTCATTTGCAGCAATGTGGATGGACAGGAGGACATTGTGTTAAGTGAAATAAGCCAAGCAAAGAAAGTCAAATCCTGCATGTTCTCACTCATATGTGGAAGCTAAACAAGTTGCTCTCACAGAAGCAGAGAGTAGAATAAAAATTACAGAGGCTAGGGAGGTGGGGGTTGGGGACGGAGAGGGCTGGTCAACAGCTACGAAAACAGTTCGAGGGGAGGGTTAAGCTCTAGAGTTCTGCAGCACAAGGGTGATTATAGTTAAAAAAAAAAATTACTGTGAATTTTAAATTAGAAGAGAATATTCCCAGCACAAAGGAAGGCTGTTTGAAGTGATGGGAAAGCTAATCACCCTGAGCCAGTCATTTCCCATTGGATATGTGTATTAAAACATCACGCTATACCCCATAAATACATAGTTATTAAGTATCAATTTTTTAAAAACAACCTACCTCTTATTGATCACTGAATTCCTCTTGCTGTCAGTCGTCCAAAAGCCCACCCATATTTTGACGCAAAGTTGGGAAATGTGTCCCTGTATATTCTTGCCATTTGTGTTCCAACTTAAAAATGTTTTTAAATGTGAAAAGTGTTGTCCTCTTTGGAAATAAGAAGCAGCGTTTCCGGCTGGGACTCTGCTACTCTGGTTACTAAGGAGACCGGTTGGATGTAGGAGCCATAATTAATAAGTAAATCAAGGCCTCCTGGACCTGGGAGTGAGATGCTCCTTGCCTCGAGAGGGAAAATCGCTGGGTAGGTGGAGAGCGTGGAGTTCCACGTGGGAGCCGGGCCTGGCTGCCTTCTCCCCTGGCATAGCCTCCCTGGAGATGCCTGAGGACCGTGCTAAGACCCTGCTCCTTCTCCTCCAAGTGCACCTGTGGAAACCGATGGGGTCACACTCTGTCCCCCAGCATGGGCCTTTCTGTTGCAAGAGGAAGACAGGCTGCTGTGGGCAAGAGCGAACCTCTGCCCCCTCAGAATAAATCCGATAGTATGACCTTCCCGCCAACTATTTTAACAAGTGCATCTTGTCAAAGAGCAGAGAGCAGCTGGCCCCTCCCTGACCAGTAAACAAGCCAAAGGGAAGCTCCCGGTCTCCAGGCGCTCAAGGTCTTTCCAGGATCCCAAGGTTCTGGCCCTTTCTAGTATTCTAGAAGCACATGCTTTCCTGTGGGGCAGGTTCCGGCATCCTCACCCCGGGCTCAGCGCCTCTCCCCTCTCTGTCACAGGACACCACCTGGCACGAGATCCGCCTCAGCACTTCCAGACCACCAAGTTCCATTCCTCCATTTAGTGAGCGAGGAAAGAAATGGCTTCTCACTCTTGCTTTTTCTTTCCCTCAACTGCAAGGGTAGAAAATCAGTTGCTACCAAACATCCCAGGGATGACAGGTATGTCAAGGACATCGTGTAGGATGATGCTCCCTTGACGGGACAGAAAATCCAAATGAGTAGCTTAAACAAAAACATGGAAGGTTTAAGTGTTTGTTTTTAGGTTTTGTGCGGGGGGGGGGGGGGGTTGTTTTGGGGTTTGTTCTTGTTATTTTCATGACATTGGGGAGTGAGCCCAGGAGCGCTCTACCACGGAGCCACACCCCCAGCCTTTTTATCTTTTGAGACAAGCTCTCACTAAGTTGCCCAGGCTGGCCTTGAACTTACTGTCCTCCTGCCTCAGCCTCCCAAGTCACTGGGGATACCAGTGGGCACTGGCGTGCCCAGCATGGGTCAACGTTTCTGATGACCTCGATGAATGGGATCTGTATAGCTGTCCCCTTTTGCCCTGTGACCTGGCTCTGGACAGCCTGGTGATGGCCTTCAGCCAGTAAACGCAGTCAAAGCCAAGGAGCCCCTGCACCGAGGCCTGGGGAGGCTCTGCGCTGTGCTCTCTCCCTTAATGACTGTTTGCTTGTGCTGCACCTTGGCCTTGCCGTGAGACCATGCCCAGGCAGCATGCTGGGAGCCGGGGAGGAGAACCAACACAGCCCCACTGCAGAAGCCTGAGAGAGCCCCGTGAGAGCAGAACTGCCCTGCTGCCCCCTGCCTGGATTCCCCGCCTGAAGAATGAGCCAGACGGGGGGTTTGTTGTTTAAGCCTCTGGCTTTGGTGCAGTTTGATATGCAGTAATTCGTAACTGAGGCTTTACTGATATCAGAAATAAATGCTTGCATTTTTTTCTCAAAAGAGAGAGAGAGAGAGAGATGATTGAAATCTAGGGTTAATGTGGTAGTTTCATCATCATGGGGGACCCAGAATCCTTCTATCTTTATGCTCTATCATCTTTAGCTCTCATCCTCAAAGTTGTCTCATGATCCAATATAGCTGCTAGGGCTCCAGTCAACATATTTGTATTCCAGGAAGGAAGGAAGGAGGGAAAAGAGAAGGCCTCTTCTAGCTGAGTTAGATTCCTTTAAAAGAACCTTCCTAGAGGACCCATCCAAGGACTAGTATCTTGATTCCCATTGGCTCCTTTTAGCTGTTCAGATGACCAGGAAATGTAGCCAGTCTTTTAGCTGAGCACGTGGCCCCCTAGAATAAAATCAAGCGTCGTGGTTAGTAACGAAGAACCAGGAAATGGGTATTCACTAGGTAACCAGCACAATCTGCAGAGGAATGTGTGAAATCAGACTCCAGACCTCAAACCCCAAAATACATGGGGATGCGGAACAACCCACGTCATGCAGAGAACATGCTGATTTCCCAAAAGGCTCAGAGTGGTGGCCTTGATGTGCCGGGGAGGAGGGTAGCATTTGGCAACGACAGTCACAGGAGGAGTCGGGAGTGCCCTGATCTCCTGGGCCCTTTCGCTGTGAACACAGACGGGAGGGGAAATTGTTTCTCAGAACTGTGGTTCCTAACGGGGGCGATGCTTTCATTCTTTCTGCTTTCTTTTTATTGAGATATAATTCCCATAACTTCAAATTCACCATTTAAAGTGGGAGGGTTTTAGTATTATTGTACAAACGCCAGCACAATCTAATTCCAGAGTGTTTCCATCACACTAAAAAGAAACTCTGTACCCATTAGCGGTCAGGGCAAATTCTACCCTTCATCCTCCCCTACCCCGTCCCAGGTCCACAAAAGAGCAGGACTTGCCCCTTGAGTGAATGCTGTGCTCCTTAGACAACACAGGCTCAGGCCCTGGGGTTCTGAGATAGATCAGATCCTCTTGGGAAAACCAAGGCCAAGGTCACAGTGCAAGTCACCCAAGTCCGAGTCTCCAGGGATGCTACAGGATGTGAGCACTGCAGCCCGGGCTGCCTGGGCATTGCCTCCTGCAGTCTGCTTCTCCGCCTGCCCTGCAGCAGAAAAGGAGGCTCCACGGCCCGGAGCGGGACACCTTCAACAGCTTCCGGGCCCCTACACCCCAAGGTGCAGAAGCCGCTGGACAAGCCCCTTGTGACCTGCTCCGGGAGGCGTCTAGACTCGGGGTACCAGTTACTGTGGAGAGGAGGGGGAGAGCGCAGCGCTAGATTCGCCAAGGGCCTCATTGTCTCCCTCACCGCTGTCCAGGAGGACCACACCCATTTCACAGAGGAGGGCCTGAGGTCGGCACAGAGGAGGGAGAATTTCAGACACTCCTGTCTGAGCCCCCGGCTGCGTTTTGCACTGCGCCACGCTGTGAGCACCTGTGGAAATGCCTCCTGACCCGGCTGTGGCAGGTGGAGACACCTCCGCCAGTGGCCTGGCCCTTGCCGCCTGGAGGGCCCTGACATTAGGAGGGGGCTTGGCTTAGCTCAGCCCGGCTCCTGGGAGCCGGTGGGAGCTTGGCTGAGCTCTTCCTCCCTCTGCCCGCTGCCTGCTCTCCACTCCTCAGGCAAAAAGGTTGCTCAAGGAGACTCCAGGATTTGGGGTCTGCCTCATCATCGCTGCCGCCAGGAGTCTTTCCCTCTGACTGACTTGCCAGAGCTCCCGTCAGTCCTCGCTGTGCCTCTGGAAGAAGGGGAAGGCAGCCGAGGGATCCTGGCTGCACCGAGCCCAGGTGAAGCAGGCTGGAGCCTGGGTGGATGGGGGGGCAGGCATGTCACAGGTCTGCTTGCGGAGCCGGGGGGGAGGGGGACAGCAGGAAGGACGGTAGGTTGTGCTGTCTGGTTGATGAAGGGGGTCAGCGTGTGTATGTGTCATCGAGGTGGGCAGGGAAGGGGAGGGCTGTGCGTGGGGGAGGATATATATGCTGGTGTGGCTGACACGGAGGAGCCCAGCTCACATCCGAGGGAGCCCTGCGACTGACAGCTCTCAGGTAGGCAACTGCATGCGGCCCCCAGCCCCGACCGTGACCAACTGCTGGAGTCTCCCGAGAGCAGGGCAGCCCGGGCTGGCTCCTCCGCCCCTGTCCTTTGTCCAGTGTGGCTGCTGCTGGCCTCTCGTGAGATTATTTCTTCATTCATCTGATTTCCAGCGCTCAGATGGTGGGGAAGGGGGAGGGCTGAGGGTCTTCTCATCTTACAGAGGCATGCAGAAGAAGAAAGCTGAAACTTGCAAATGAGGAAAAGTTTTGCTTCCCCAGTTGTGGCCCCGACTTGGTGGTTGCTATCTGTTGAGAAGAGGTGGCTGCAGGAATGAGGTCAGGCGAGGAGCAGCACTTGGAGGGCGTTTGTCTCTGGGGGCAGCCCCCAGAAAGCCCCTGGTACCCGCCGAGGGTTCTCTCTCTGTGTGGCTTTCCTCCTTTCCTGGTGTTGTGTTCAGGCTGCTCCAAAGGCATCACTGAACTTAAAGCCATTTGGTTTCGAGTTCTCAGTCTGGAGGGAGCCCTGCTCCCTTCCACCCTGCATAGAATCATCCCTAATGATGCGGGAAGAGTCAGATCTGCAGGCTTGCTCCACCTGTATACACTGCCGAAAGCCGTGGCTGTGAGTGAATTTCCTAGAGCATGTCTGCGGGCTTGACCTTGGTCTCCCAGACCCTGCATCCTTCCCAGGTCTCCTTTCCTTCTGGGCATTGTTCCCCTCCTGCCCGGTTCCTGCCCAGGGCGCGTGGAATACTCCATTCACAAGTCGCAACAGAGAAACTCTCTCGCTGCTCTCTCTCAGCCTCATCTTTCTCCTCCTCTCTTTGTGCGTCTCCTTTCCCCTCCCTTCGCCACCTTCCCCTCCTCCCCTCCTCACTCTGAACAGGCAAGTTCTGGGGGAATTTCAAGTAAGGCAGGATGATTCGGGGAAGGGACTATTTAGAGCGAGCTGCTTTGGACTTGAATACCCTGATCCTGGGCTCCAACATCTGCGTTCGGCTTCCTCGAGCAGCCCATAATTGCCCCAATTATAACCAGTAACATTGTTCGGCAGACTAACAAAAGATGAGCTTTGCACGGCGTTTGCCAGCAAGCCCAAACCAGAGTTTTCAACACAGAGAGAAAAAAGTAACTGCCTGGCTTCTTATTCAAAACCTCCCAAAGACAACACTGCTCCTTCTCCCTGCCTGTGGGTGGCTGCTGCACGTACCCTTTTTCCTCATTTATGAAGTCTGGCAGGGACATATTCTATAAGCTTCTCTCATGCCATGATACCAATAACAGAAAGAATTCGAGTTCCTTGGGCTGGTGGAGTCTTCGGCAGGGGCATATATCCAAACTTCACCTTAGTAAAAGCATCAGCTTTGGTTTTCCTTATGTGGCCTGATGCCTCCTGTCCAGGACACTGTGGTACAGTCTGGGGTGCAGCCCTGTTCCCCAAGGGGCACTAGCCCCTGCTTTATCAGCTGAAGGTTCTTAGGGATTTAGAAAAATGCAGGAGGTTTTGCATTGCCAATGAAGGGAGTAATTGCAGGATTAAGCTCAGACCCAAACTCCCAGGAGCCTGAGACGGGAGCTGTCACCAAGCTATTCCATCTTCAATCAATCAGGTATTTATCAGCTACATCCCACCAGGCAGGGAGGCACTGGGTCTCTGTAGATTCAACAGGGGTGATAATAACAGCAATTGACACTGTGCAATGATTTAGGTGCTTTCACACCCATTATCCAGCCCCAGCTCTGGGAGACGGTATCATTATCTCAGAGTTCGCAGTTGAAGAAACACGCCGAGAGGTCCGATGATTTGTTCAGCCAGTGGCCCAGACAGGGCTGAGTGCAGCTGTCCTGGCTCTGGCACACGTCCCTTTTACAGTCAGGGGTGCTTATGAACTAATAACAGGGACACAACACAAACACACCCAAACAATTAGAGGACAATGTGGGGCTGGATGCAATTAGCCCCAAACTGCAGAGCACAAGTTCAGAGGAGGTTAGGGAAGAGATGCTTCCTCTGAGGATTTTTCTTTTCTTTGGTACCAGGGATTGAACCCAGAGGTGCTTTACCACTGAACCACATCCCCAGCCCTTTTTTTTTTAATTTATTTTTTGAGACAGGGTCTCCCTAAGTTGCTTAGAGTCTCACAAAGTTCCAGAGGCTGGCCTCAAAATTGAGTCCTCCTGTTGTAGCCTCCAAAGTCATTGGGATTACAGGCAGGCACCTCTGCTCCCAGCTTCCTCCGAAGTTAGAATCCGATTCTGAGGATTCTAACTGGGTTGGGAAAGGGTGGAATTTGGATGGATCAAGAGCTTTAAGGGGGAAGGTGGCAGATGGGACAAAAGCATAGAAGGAGGGCAAAGAAATTACTGTTTCTTGGAGCCTACTATAAGCCAGGCAGCGAGCTTGCCTACATGCTTGTTTCATGCCAAGAACATCCACGTAGGAAAGTGAAGTCCAGATGTGCTCTCCAGGCTTGCATGACACAGTTCAGTGGTTCTTCACTCCCAGCCCCCAGAGCCCACGAGGGACCTTTGAATCTTGTGTGTTCTGAATTGTTGGGCTTCGCTGCTCATCAGGAATCCCAGGAAAGGTTTGGCCCCTTCTCAGAAAACAGTCATCCATCATGTCAATCGTTTATAAGCAGCTTGAATTGCTGGGAGCTCATTAGGCAAACTGGATTTTTCAAACGCTTTTATTTAATGCTACAGTTGTTCCCACTATCTAACATAAAGGCTTCCTTCTAACCCACCAGCTTGCTGTGAAGTTTGGGGTACACCAATTTGGGGAGGGGGCCCATCTTCCATGCAGCTGCAATCACTTTCCTTTTGGACTTTCTGTGAACCCCGGCAGCTGCTTTGGCGTTGCAGAAGCAGGAGCTCGCCAGCCCTCAAGGGCCGGCCTGGCTGGTGACGTGCGTAACTGGCCTCGCCACCGCACAGCCAGGACTCTGCTTTCTGCAG